ACCTGGGGGGAGGCAGGTTCCCTCGCATCAACCCGATCGCACAACAACATACACACCAGCCTATTCCTTCACACCTCCGCGACTCGATACACGACGAGCCGGGGACCACCTACAGTCTGAAGTGCGTCGTGGAGAGTGTTTGGCTCCGGCCAAGGCTCCAGGCCGAAGGGGTCAGAGAAAGGCCATGGCAGCCAAGAAAAGGTTTGCTCCGCGGGTGGGCCCGGAGCTCCTGTAGGCCTCGTTAGTGGCTTTGCTTACGTTTTCTCGCCTGTTTCCCGACAACAGGGGGGCGGACCGACCGGGAACCGACAAGCTCCTGGAGGAAGAGGGGTGGTGTTTGTTCGCATTAACGAGTGTGTGTGTGTGTGTGCGCGTGTGTGTGAGAGTATAGTGCCGCGACCTATATTTTTATTTGTCGTGCTCTGCAACCGTTCTCCGCAAGTTTTTTCATGATACAATTCAGCGTTTGGATACCGAAACGGAACTTTCGCAAGTTCGAGTGAATTTTACCTCACATGAACCCAGTTTGCGCCTTTGCTATAGCAAATAGATGGGGGGGTGGAGGCAAAGGTTGGTGTGGTGGGTGGGAGTCAGGGGAGGGGCTGCATTTGGGATGGGGGCGGAGGACAAGGAGGGTGGTGAAGGGGGGGACGGCAGGGGCGGCTCGCTCGCTTTGGCAACTCTCGGCTGCTTGTTGGAAGTTTCGTGCCTTTGGGCCGCTGTGCTCCGGCTCGGCTCCGCGCCGCAGCCTGCGGGGGTAGAGGAGTAGGGGGTGAGAGAGCGAGAGCGGCGGGGGGTGTCAATCGTGAGGGGGAAACGGGGGGAAAACAGAGGATCAGGCAGGGAGGCATTCCGCCGCCGCCAGCCTACACATGGACTAGGGCTCCTCCTCGCGCACCTCGCTCGCGCTCCGCCTCTTATTCCTCCTGCGCTCCCACATCAACACAACACGCCGAGGCGCGCCTCCACACACACACACACACACACACACGGGCCGCCGCGGGGCGCCGGGGAGACTCTTTACTCGCTTTACAAGTGAAATAAACGCCAACGAACCGACTGTGGGGCAGGAGCAAAATTTGATTCGGCTTGCCGAGTGAAGCGCCGCTGGAGGGCGAGGGGGTGGGTGGTGGGAAGGGGTATCGTGGGCCCCTTCCTCCGGCTTGGAAAGAACGTGGCGCGCCGCGGCGGGTTGGGGGCCTGCGGCTTTGCTACACGCCGGCACCGCCGCGCCTCGCGGGGAGCTTCGCGAGGAGCTTCGCGTGCTTCCGCCGTATAATGACGACGCCGTCGTGAGGTGGGGGAGCTTGGTCTTCTTGTTGCTGCTGGCGCGGTATGGCGGCGGTGCGCCTCCACGGCGGAGCCCCCATCCGGGGCGGAACCGTGCTTTGCGCTGCCGCTCGGGGCTGCTGTGCCGCTGGTTGCCCTGGATGGCTGACTGCTGTGTCCCTCTTCTTGCTGGTTGTTCCGGCGAGACGGCTTCGGGAAACAATTAAATGCTCTTGCTCGAGCGATCTGCTGGTCGGGCCGCCGGCCCTCAGTACTCCTTGGCCCCTGCCGCCCCCGCAACCCCGCGCGCCGGGGGGCGGGTGTATTCGCGGCCTGGCGAGGATGCCGTCAGCTTCCCTTCCCCGGCCACCCCCGCGCCCGTGGAAGGGAGCACCCTCCCGCTCCCCGTCCCTCCGCCTCCCCTCCTCGGACAGGGAGGAACTAATAATCCCCTGTTGTGTAATTACTTATCGGAGGCCATGCGGAGGACGAGGCCCGGGCCAGGGCCGGGAGGGTCGGCGGGGTCCTCGCGGGGCTTCTCGCCCAGCTCGCGGCGGCGGCGGGTACCCGCGGTCCCGCATGCGCAGCGTCTCGCCCTGCATCGAAACAAACGGCCGATCTTCCTGTTTCGCTCGCATCAACAAGCTTTTCCTACCGCGTTGTCGAATATTCCTCATTGTCGCGGTGTTGTTTCCCTTCACTTTGGTTCTTTTCCTCGTCGGCGCGTCCTCCTGCTCCCCTTTCTGCGCGCTTTTTCTACGACATCCTTCCTTATCAGCACGATCCTGCCGTCATAGGCGGCCGCTTCCAACAACGGGGCGACTGCGCGCCAAGCCCGGGCCATCGCAGCGGTCCACGGCGACGACGCGACGACGCGACTACCCGCGGGCACGCGAGCTCCACTCCTCCCCCTCCCCGCCTCGCCCACTCCGCCCCGCCACCGCACTCGCACATCTTTGATTAATTTCAAGTCGGTGAGCTCGAATGCCCAATCAGCGCAACCAGCAGCAGCGTCAGGCTATGATGGGAACCCCACGGCGTGCGTCCGCTGCTGCTGCTGCTGGTCGGCGGCGGCGGCGCGGCGACAGTTACCGTCGTAGTTGTTTCTGCTCTGCTTGTCGTTGCACTCAGCGGCCACCCGCCCCGCCCCGCCTAGCCCTGCCTCGCCCCGTCGGACATTGAACTGTCGAGGCGTGACGTCGTTGTTGTCGCGCATCAGGACATGGCGAGTTTCACCGACTCACCGTAAATAGTAGCCGATTCTTGAAGAAACTTGCTGTTTAGAGATTCGGTCTGTGTGATATGTTGGCTCAGCTGTGTCTTATTTTCCTCCCGAGTATAACCGTATGGGTGTCTTTCCTAAAAGTGGTCAGTTCGTGCGGTCAACAAAGAGAGTCCTTCCGCCTTCAGTTCTAGCAGTTTTCCTGTTTGTTTTTTTTCTCGTCGATTTTTTGAACAGAAAATCTCGCCGTTCGCACAGCACACGGCAGCGGGCGCGTCCACCTGCGGGGCGTGGCCGAGCGGGCCGGGGGGCACCGCAGCGGGGGCGCACCACCTCCACTTCACTCCGGAAAACTAACGACAACTACTTCGTTTGTATGGAGGAAAACGCCCCGCGACGCGCCGCCGCGCCGTTCCAAAACACGACACACACGACGACGCGTCTCGCGCGCCCGACAACAAAGGCCCAACGACCATCGATTAGTCACAGGTTGATGAGCGATTTCTCCTTCTCATTCGTGTATAGGGCACCCGGGGGCGAGAAAGCAAAAAGGACGCGGGAGCGCGGCCAAATCGAAACATAATATGATTCACATGAAGGAGCCGGTACAAAAGTATCGCGTGGCGAAGGAAGCACGAGACGCCGGGACACTACTCACCCCCCCCCCCCCTGCCTGACCCCCTCGGGCCGTTTCTTTTCTTCCCCCCGCGGCTGTCCTTCATTATTCGCACGACAGAATCACATCTATATTCTCCCCCACTCGGCCCGTGCCCAGCAGCGACGGCGACGAACCAAAAATAGAGTTTGGTGGGGTGTGGTCGAAATATTATTTTTTCCACCTTCGCTTTTGTTTCGAAAGGGCCAAAGAAAGAGGTGACTAGCACAATAATTTGCAAGCTCAATTATTTTATTTTTCTCGAAGCATTTTGTATTTGCCGATTTCTATGGCTTTCTCACAGCATAATCTTTACCCCCTTCTTTTATCAGAGCACGCAGGTCTCAGCCGCGCGCTCGTCTGGACAAAAGGCCTGGCCTGGCCTCGCTGCTATCGCTGCTGCTGCCGGCGCCGGGCCCAGGGAGGGGCGCACGTCGGACTGAAATTGGTGGTATGATAACCTCTGCGTATTTTTCCTCATCCACCGTGGCCTCCCTGATCCCCCTGTCCACGCCATCCACAGCAAGAGGATTCCCTCCGGCCTGGTCCGGTGCCCGTTTTGACCTGGCGAAGGCGGGAGGTAAGCAAGGGGAAACGGGGAGGGGGGGGGGGGTATCGATTTTACGCAAACCTCGCACCGGGAGATGCCGGGCAGAATTGGCTTGTAATCCGATTTTCTTTTTGTGCCTCGCGAGACGGGCTCCGTCGTGTAACGCATTGAGTCGGACGAGAGGACCTGGACGGGGGTGGGTGGGGGCGGGGGTGGCGTGTGAGTCATATTAAAGACGGGCGGTGAGGGAGAGAAGTTTATTTCACCTGGTAGGGACGACCACGCGCGGACGAGAAGAGCTCACCGATAGTAGACGTCAGCTGTCGCAGTTTTTTCCGGCCCCCCTCGACGGAACTCTCCTAGAGCGCGCAGATCAATTATTATTCAGTTTTCTATAACCGCTCTTAAAAATACAATATAAGTAAATTTAATTTTTCCAGGTCGCGCGTGCCTCTGCTGCTCCTTGTGGCTCCGACGTATTGACGAATCCCCCGCTGTCTGGCCACCAATTGGATTACGACAAACGCACTCCTCGCGGACACCCACAAGGCACAAGCGAATAAGCGGGCGGGTGAACGCGCGCCCAACGCGCCGGAAAACGGTTTCTGAAGGGGGGGGGAGCTCGAGGATTCGCAGAGGAGGAGGGGGTGCGGACTCGTAGCCGGGGGAGGGGGGGGGGGGCGACGAAGCGGACCGCCAGTCAGAGGGAGAGAGAGAGAACTCAGCAGGACGACGGGGTGCTTACCGTGGACTGCTTGCCGAGCGCAGGAAACAATTTTACAATTCGCGCCCTTCCCGACGACATGTGGTCGTCGTCACAACCTCGGCGGCTCAAGGAGCTCTGTGCGCGTCGCGCAGAGGATAAGCCGTTTCCCGCGTCGCCCGCGCCTGCCGAGCGCTGGTGGCTGCGGCACCGTGCAACACCACCCCTTCCCTTCGCTGCCCGCCACAAAAGAGTCGTGGCCTAACCTGCTCCGAAGGCGCCAAAGGCGGTCGCTTCCGACCGGCACTAGTATCAACACCCTGCACTGAATCTGGAATATTATGATACTTTTATCACAAAAGTTTGTGGCAGCTGCTCAATTTTTTGATACCTCCGATTGATTATACCCCTCACATTAATTTGTTATAACTCCCCCCAATACTTTTCATGGCAAGATCGATCGAGATGAAATCCTTAATTTCTAACTTTTGCTATACTTTCTTTGTAAATGCATGATTTTCCTCAAATTTTCGAATTCTTATATCTTAAGATTTTACGCCGAAAATCAATTAAACGGGACATAAAATGTATCTCACACAACTAACCATGTTGTCAGTAATTTTTATTAATTTCAACGTAAAAGTAAAGGTACTGATATAGGAATCTGGTTTCTCAATAGATTTGTCATACTTGATTATTATGCGACATATCTTTCACAGTGTGCTGTCGCAAATGGCACCCAGTTTCGGTCAAAAGTTTGTGGCACACTGTGCACTCGAATGGTTTCTCACCGGTACGGGTTCGTGGATGTCCCCGCAGATGAGTAGCCCGGGAGAACGTCTTCTAGCACACAGTACACTGCTATAGTTTCTCTCCAGTATGGGTTCGCAAATGTTTCCGCAGACTGCCAGATTCGGAAAATTTACGGTGGCACACCGTGCACTCGAATAGTTTCTCTCCAGTATGGGTTCGCAGATGTGTCCGCAGACTGCCAGATTCAGAAAATTTCTTCTGGCACACCGTGCAGCCGTATGGTTTCTC